TGTTTATTTATAAATACTTAAACATAAATGTTAAAAAAAAATTTTCTTATATCATAGATCAATAAACGGCCTTCAACTTTAAGTTGACCTTTAAAAAACTATAAAAAATAACCAAGTTCTTAAGTATACAATTACATATTTCAAGAAGAGCCACAAATTTTTGAATAACATGAAGTAAATAAATAAGTATTGTACTTACTTAATAAAAATATTTTCAATACTATAAAATTTAAAGTGCAATTTGTTCACACAAAGTACACACACGTGAAAGTTATTGCAAATATTTAGGAAAAATCAGTAGCGCGACTAATGACCTTATATTTGTAAATAAATTAAATTTGGTGATGCAAAAACTCAATAATATTTTAACTAAATGAAAAAGTACACAATACATACATAATATGTACATATGTACAAACACATACATTACTATTTACATTTATAATTTTATATTGACAGTTTGTAAATGTCAACGTTTTTTTAATTTAATTAAAAATTTATTTTAAAATTTTTTAATTGAAAAAAATATAAGAAAAACGAAACGTAAGTAGGAAAAGTTCCTACAGTTTTAATATGGAAAATAACAACTTAGCATACCTAATTTATATTTGCACATACAAAATATTATGAAAATATATGTAGGTATATACATATATATATTTGCGTTTATGTACAAAATGTTTACATTTAAGAACATTATGTATGAGTATGTAATTTTAATTACAAAAACATTATTGTATTTAAACTGTTATACTCAATGTTTATTTTATTTAATTAAAGCATTGTGATAATAAGCAGAATTATGTAGAACACTAACAAACAAAAATTAAATAAATTACTAACATGAATTAGCAAATTTATTTAATTTGCTTTGCTTTTGTTGATTTTTATAAAGGTTACTTATTTTCAATTTCACTTATTTTATATTTCGTTAACAATGAAAACAATATTGTGTACAATTTTGAATATATTTGATAATTTACAGTATATATACTGTAATGTAAAAATGAACTGCTCGTTCAAAAATGTAAAAAATATTTTTTAAAAAGTGGTAGTTTTTAATATTAATTTTCAAATTTCCATTGAACATCGAATTTGGCTAATTACTTGCATATTACTGATAGCTAGATGACAATCGCTAAGATGAGACTGTCATAATCTTAAAAAATTATTAGTTTTCTTAATTAAAATTATTAATCTTAAAAAATTATTATATTGGAATAAGTTTTGAGTCGTTTAAGGTACATATCAAACATTACTAATAATATGTACGTAAAGTCTACTAAAACCAGACTTTTCAAAAGACGGAAAGTTCTCATTGCCGGAAAAATACGCCAAATTAAAGTCCCTATATAAAAATATTTGCAAAAAAACTGTTAACAAGAGAAGGCACCATTTGAAAAGAAAAATGTAGTAAAATATTTTGAAATTGAAAGAAAAATTTTATTACTCCCTTCATTTGTCTGCTCACGGGTCAGAAAACTTAAAAAAAAAATCGATTTAATCAACCCAGTATATTAATATTATTACTTAATATAATCTCGGTTTTAATCGACTAATTTAAATAAAAGATGTGTAAGTCATTAAAAGCTGCGGTCCCCTGCTAACTGTACTTACTTATAATTATTGAGAATTATTGCTTTTATTCCTATAATTTTAAACTCAATATATTTATTATAACTTCACTGTATTTAACACACATATAGAAAATTATTATAGTTTTGTATAATATATGTACAGGCATACGCACATAAAATACATGTATAAAATGTAAATATTTACATGTACGTGCATTAATTTGTGTGCGCTCATTAATTCGGAGCGATTGTTAACCTTGGATGTACAATTTTTTTGTTTTGTTTCAACATCCTATTTCCTATCTGTACGCTGCTTAAATACTTTCACAATAAACGCATTCAAGCGCCTCATAATTCAGAAAAATTATGCGACTCTTATTCGCTTTATTTTTGTGCCTTAAACAATTTGACATTTCAAGATAACGGTATATGTTTTATATATGTATTTGACATTATGGTATTTTGAAAGTGAAAAGAAAAATTAAATTGCTAGGAAAAAGAAATAATCAACTTGTTTTTTTTTTTCTATTTTTTTTTTGGTTTTATTTTTCAATTAAGTACTCTTACAAAGCTCAGTATGATGATACTTCTGGTTTATCACAACAACGTATATAACCTTGACCCGAACCTCTAAATTTGATTTCACATATTAATTTTAATAAAAGTACGTACTTATACAACATGGTTTTTCATACATTTATGTAAGTATGTATATTTTGCAAAAGTGAATAAGTATGTATGTATATAAATTATTTTTTCTTTTGTTATAAAATGTAAATTATAGAGAAGTATGTGTGTACATATACCTAATACGAGTATATATGTACATAGTTAAAACAAGTATGTATGTCAATAACTTTACAAAATATATTTAATCTAGTGAATGTAGTAGGTAAGTATATTTTTTATTTGACATACGACATTTAAGAGAAAAGATGCACATTGACAGAATTTGCATACTTAGTTTGTTATTCTAAGTAAGACTTGCATCTGTATATGTATATACTTATATAAAGTACGTATATCTATTACACATTAGTATGTATGAAATTTTCTTTATGGCTATAAGTACAACATACTTTATAATAATAAAACTGAAAGAAATTGAAAAGAGTGCAAGAAATAAGAAAATATAAACAGCACGTCAGATGCCTTCCCACCTAAAATTTTAAAAATATTACGTGTTATCGTGAGCTAAGTATCATTAATAAAAATAAAAAAAATATAAGTATAAGACTATACAATGCGATATTATGTCATAAAAATGTGTATTGTATTAATATTAATAATGGAACTATTTTTAAACACAATGTTTTATTATGTTAAAAATATGGATACATTGAAATTTATACCAAAGAAATAAAGTTAAATGTTCAAATGTTCGCAAATTAATTCAACTATTATATCTAATTTCATTCTTTTGCTTAAGTAGGCACAAACCCAGCTCATTATAAAAAAGGCCGACTAAAGAATAGCTGAGGTATTGCTACAGGATAGATTAAGTACTTATAGAAAAACTAAATTTTTTTTTATATTATTAGAATTTTTAACAATGTGGGGTAACGACCAGAACGAATCAAGTCCAAGAATCAAAAAAGTACGATAAACTTATAGAAACAATAAATAAGTAAATATTTAGTAATCTCGTTCCCACTAAAGTAAGTAGGAGTCTAATGCTTGTCTTATTATTCGAATGTAGCACATTATACATAAGTACTGAGTACATTATGTATGTTAGTCAAAAATATTGTTCCTGTATATAAATTCAAAAATAATTTTGATAATCAAAAAAGATAATAGGTATAACATCAAATATCCCAAACAGTAAAAACAGCAATTTGACACTAAAGTGCGCAATTTCAAAACAATAAGTAATCAATGTAACTATAAAAAAAGTATGTAAGTACCTATTGCAAATGCAAGTAGGTATTCATGTATGTAAATATAAATAGGTATATAAGTAGGTACTTATAAGTAACATGTACTCATTAATCAAACAAAATAAAATATTTTTGAAACAAAGCAAAAAACCAAACAGTAAATTATTTTCATAACAAGTTTATGTTTCTTCAAAAACCAGCAATTAATTAATTAATATTTACAAAATTAAATACGAATCAAAACCAAAAACAAATAAGTAATCATTATTTTTTTTTTTAATTATTTAAAAATATTTTTAATTAGATATTTATATAATAAATGCACTAATAACTTACTCAAAATTAATGTAATTATTTTTATTATTTTTATTGTTTATTAATTTTGCTACATTCATTTTTTTTTTTAATTTTTATTAAATTTAATAACAAAATTTACTTAAACAAAATTTTTTTATATAACAAAAAATGTTTTTAATAATTATTTAACAAAAAAAAAATACTTATTACTTTTAATTAAATAAATTAAAAATAATAATTTATATTATTTAAATATACTTTTTTAATAGTTATTATTTACTAAAACAAAAATCACGCTTTATTTTTTAATTTTTTTATTATATAATTGTTTATTATATAATATTGTATATAGATATTTTGCAGTTATATAACATGTAACCGGAAATTAGTTATTTAGTTACTTTTATTATTTTATTTATTTTCGTTACTTTAAACCTAATTTATTCAATTATAAATAATACTTTTCATTTATAATGTTTATTAATAATTACTTATATAAAATATTTTATTATACTATAAAGTATAAGTTTATATTATATACGCGTACACATTAATAAGAAAAATATATTTTACTTAAATAAGGTATAAATACAATTTTGAAATACTTATATATAAAGCCACTCTTGTATTATTTAATATAATTATATATATATATATATATATATATATATGTATATATTTAAAATGAATAGAAATTATATTGCCCAATTAATTAGTTTAATTATTATTTGTTATTTTTGGAAATAACTTAGTATTGGTTATTTATTTATTTGAATATTAATGACGTAATAAGATAATTATGACACTCAAGAGTTTATAAAAATATATTGCGCCTTATAAGAAGCTCAGATATAATGTATAACACCTAGACAGGTCGGTATATAAGTATATACTCTTATATAAATTAAAATTTTAAAATACTTATAGAAAATAATACTTCAATAAGTAGATAGTTACTTATAGGAAAAATACTTGACAGAAAATAGTAGTAAGTAGTAACAGATTTTTTTAATTTTATATTTGTAGGTATATAGCACAGACAAATTCCATAGAATTATTATTATTATAGCGTTATTAATAAATAAAATTACATATTTAAAATACAAATTATGATTGCAAGATTTTATTATGGTGTTAAAATTATTAAATACTTAATAAATTATATTAATAAATTTTTTTAATACTTAAATATTATTTTTGGTTATAAGAAATTTAAATATTTTATTTTTGTATATCCAATTATTACCACAATTTCTGCAATATTGCAGTCACCATTGTTAATGAATTGCTTTTATATTTTGTATGTTATCTAAGAACTTTTGTTTTATCTTAAATGATAAAATATAAAGCCTTTTATTGAATTATGTTTTTATGTATATAAATATGTGTATGTTATAGACAGGTATGTAAATACCTCTATATATATGTATTAAAGGTATTAAAACAATATTGATGAAATTTTTATCTATACGAGTTTCAATATTTTTTTTTTCTATTAATTTATTATCGAACTGCAATAAATTTTTTATTTTCAATTATAACACTATAGAATTAGATAACTAAAAAAACACGTTTTCCCTATAATTAGAATTTTTATCCATATAAAGTATGTATGTATGTAAGGTGGATTTTATTTTTTAAATGCACTTGTATTTTTCATTATTTTTTTAATACGATTAAATTTGCCAAAAAAAACAAGCTATAACAAAATATTAAAATTAATTAAAATGTTAAAAATAAAATTGAATTTTATTCTTTTGATTGTTATACAAATAAGTAATAATTATAAAAATTTAATTATATTTTGCAAATCAACATAATCTATTGCGTATGTTGTGTATGTTTTTATATTCAATAATTGAAATTGTAAAAAGTTCCGTAACTTATTAACAAATTATAATTAATATTTAAACTTTCAAAGAACGAGTAAAACTGAAAACGAAAACTATTTTATTTTCTTCTCTCAATCAAAATTTATTCTTTGACATTATTATTTTGACATATTCTTTTCATATGTTTTTGGCATACAAAATGACAATTTACAGTTTTGTCATTTAAAAATTGAAAATAAAAGCTTATAATTTATAATAAAAGCTTTTTTCTGTCTTTTTATATATTTTCTTAAGTTACGCAATGTGAACAACAGATGTCGGGACTAAATTAATAAAAATTAATGTAATATATTATACAACATAATATACTGTTATACGGGAATGATAACATACTGTTATACAAAAATGTATGTTACTATTTGAAAAATTTAATTTTGTGAACATTTTAATTTAAAAGAAAAAGTTTAATAATAAGTAAGAAATGCGATAAAATGTGAATATAATTTATGAACACACAAATGCATATGTTTAATGAATGAGTATAATAATATAAAGTAATAAATATTTAAGTTTAATTTAATATACAGAAAACTGATAATTAAGTAAGTATTACAGATTAACCGAAACTTAGTTCTAACGGATATCCGTTCTAACAGTATAGCATGTTTTAACAGTATACTTGATTGTCACTCAACAGCAGAGATTTGAGTTCAAATGCCTATTGTACCCTAGTATGTACCTATTTTTTTTTTGAGAAAATAATATACTCGTCAACATATTGTCATGAGTCATTAATGGTATGAGTGAGATAATATTCAAGTAAATATTTAATGCTATATACATTTTTCTGAAAATCCACAGGTTTGCGCACAAAGTTACTCATATAACTATTAACAATCGAGTTAATCAATCAAATATTACAAGAATTACTGGAATTTTGAAATTTTGTAATACGATATTTAATGCTCTATTTTTTTATAAATAAAACGAGATTTTAACAGGATTTACTCTAATTGATCTTTTGTTCTATATATTTAACGTATATTTAATATATTTAACGTAATATGTATGTAATAAACTAAAATCTAATTAATCTACTTTGTTATATATATAATATAGCTCATATGAATATTGTAAGTCATATTATACTCATACATTATACGTCATCAATTACATACTCATATACAGGTAGCTATATAAATTACATATAAAATAAATCTATATTTCTTAATTATTTTAATTACATTTTAATTTTTAATAAAATTTCAAATATTCAAATAATTTCAATAGAAAAAATAAACATTAACTATATATATACATTAGTATATACACATGTATATTATATAATAATTGCATTTACACATATTTAACATTTTTATGGATATATTTTTATATTGAATTACAGGATAGTATCATCTCTTTGTTAAAAAAAAAAAAATTCCGATCTAGTGCAAAGGAATGAAAGCGTCTCACAAAACTATTATACAAATAAGATTACACAGATGTACATATATATTATATATGAAATATATATTAATAGTTCACAATTGAAGGTATATAATTTAATAAAAAAAAAGAATTTATAACAAAAATATTGTTCATCTACGTTACTATGATTTCTTGTAAATAAATTACAAAAAAACAAAAACTATATAAGTATAAAAGTTGGTTGCCTATGTATATAGAAAATAAAAATCCAAGGTTTTAACATACTGTCACGTCCACCATAAAATTTATTTTTAACTCGTTTATATACCAATAATATGAACTTCTAATTAACTGCGGTATAAAAATGGTGTTGAGTTTTATAGCCACCGTTTAAACACTTAGAATTATTTATATCACCATTATCAATTTTAATTGAAATTCTTTGTGCCCATCATAACAATAAAACAAAAAAAAAAAAGCAGAATAACATAAAAACCTCATTCAATTTTTATTTCTTTTTAAAAGGATTCTTTCAATCTCCTCCAGGACTCAATCAAAATTGAAGAAAATAATGTAAATATATTGTATCTCTTATTTATATACATGTATGTATGTATCTATATTGTATAGAAATTGAAATTGAATTGGACATTGGGCAAAAAAATATAAGGAAAAAAACTATATATAAAGGAAAATAACAAATTAAAACAATAAAAAATAAAATATTTTCAAATTGTACTGATTTAGTTTTGGTTTTTTTATAATGTTAAAAATAAAAGGTAAAAATTTAATTTTTATATATATGTATGTAGATAATATAATAAAAATAAATTGTAACTATTAATGATATTGATGAGTGGCAATAATAAAATGATGATTAAGAGAATGATTATAATGGTTTATAAAATGTTATATATGTATATGTATATGAGTAAATGATGATGTCCGGAAAATCTTCAAAGCTGACACGTCTAAATTATGTATAAATAATATATAGTTATTATATAACATCAATTACTTTATATAATTTTATACATAATACAATACCGATGAAGTATAACATATAGATCTTAGCATTAATTGAGCGTTTGACCGTAAAAATATTTTGCAATTTTATTCATTTATGCGTTTACGCGTTTTTTTTTTTTTATTTAAGTTATTCCATTTATCTTCTGTTTTATTGTTTCATCAATATATTATTAATTAGTAACATTATAATGCAGTGAATTAATTTAAAAATTTACAATATATTTTTATTTTTTATATACTTAATTATTATTATTTATTAATGATATTAAGAAAATTGAGTTGAAAAATGATAAAAAGTTAAGAGAATGAAACCACAACAGAAAAAATATATATGAATTCAATCGCAACAGGAGTAAAATAACAATAGCTAGCATATTAAAGACAACAATGACAGTAACAGCAATCATCCAAATATTGAAAATGGAAAAAAAAAACCAAAATAAAAAATTGATCCTATGACAATAATTTTAGACATTTTCGCTCTAGTTTTTTTTTCTCTTAAATTCGATTCATGCCTAGAATACATTATTAATGAGTGATTCTAATACAAATTAATGTCCAGAATAATGTTCTTGATATAATGATTATGATTTTATATTTTGTAAAAAATCTTCTATAAAGAAATTGAAATTATGTTAAGAACCATAAACTTTTAGATCAGTTTTTGATGTTATTTTGTAAAATGCAGGGAGAATGAAATTTAATGACGGCACAATACCTCTAATAATGTCAATAAAGATTTGTGGTAGATAACAGTTTATGAGTTGTAACCTAAAACATACTCAATTTATTTAGTCAGTAAGTAATTATACAAAGAACTAATAGCTATTTTAATAATTACAGAGAATTTTGTTAATATAGAGTAAGAGAAAGAAGAACTATACTTATAATATGTACTTTATGTGAGACAAAAATATTTAATTCTATGTGCTGAGCTTCAAGCGAAATTTTACAGTACAAAAAATTATAAGAGAGCGGAATGCCGTTTTAAATTTTTCTATTTTCTCTCAGAAACGCCAAAAAATTAGGAAGCCATTTTATTGTTGGCTTAATTTTGACGAAAAAATCATTTTAAAAAAATTCCGTGAAATTTTGAATTTGGCCTATGACTTTTAGGAAACGTCATAGCAATACTTTTATTTTATATTCTCGCATATTAATTGGTAAGTTCCACTCTGTACCATTTATTTTTATATTTTTAAATCACTCCTATAAAAAGTTATTTTAAAGAAGCTATAAGCGAACAAAAAAAATATTGCTAAAGAGCAAAAAAAAAAAAAAAATTGAAAATTCCATAGTTATTGATCGTACATTTTGGAATTTTAATATTATGTGATATTCTGTTATGAGTTCCTAGATAACTTGATATAATGATGCCTTTAGTATGTTAGCACATTAACGAAATAACATTGGGACAAAACAACAAAAAAAAAATGTATTAAATATCTACATAACTTAGTAACGTTCCTTGATACGTTCCACTTAAACATCTACCCATATAGCAGACATAAAGAAAAAAAATAGCAGCAGGCACAAGGGAATTTTTTTAAAATACAAGTTCAGAATAATAAAAGTTTTTGTTTTTTGTACTTTTTTTGGTTGAAACCGCACAATCAATTTCAATTTTATCTCATCTTTTGAAAAAATAACACGGAAAATGTAAAGAAACAGAATGTAGAAGAAAAAAATAAAAAAAAAACATAACAAGAATAAAAGAAATATTTAAAATAGTGCTCTATTGATGATCCTCCCTCCTTCAAGATCAAAATAATCAAGAAATTTTCTTTTTTTTTTCTTGTTTTTTTAACCCCTTGTTTTTTTTAACAGTCATCAATAACAATCAAATAGTTAGCAATAAGTATAATAAGAAGAAAAACAAAAAAATTAATATCAACAGAAATAGCAAGAAAAAAAATTTACCATTGTAAATGAGAACAACAATACTATATTGCAAAAAAATACTAAAGATATAGTTGCGTATCATTGTGAAGAGTAGTTCCTCAAACTGTATATGAGATTTCCATTCTGTTATAATATTATACAATTTAATCGTTAAAATAGAATTATTTTCCGAAATACTTTTGTATCTGTCTTGATCGAAATATTTGATGATTTCTTATTATACCCTTAAATTTATATGGAATAGTCTTTCTAAAAGCATAAAATTTTGTAAATGTTTTGTAGCTTATGCTTCCTATGTTTCC